ATCGAACCGACCGAAACCGAACCAAAAAATCGGTTAACTGAACCGGTCGATTTGTTTTGGTTTGATATTCTTAAAAAACCAATAGTTTCAGTTCGGTTTCGGTTAACCATTTAATAAAACCAGTGGTTAACCGAACCGACCGATATATATAAAGTAATATATATATATATATATATATCATTTTTTTTTGAAAATCGAATATACACTTTCAGTAGTAAACTTTTCAGACTTTCTCTTTGAAAGTTTCAAAAAGAGCTTTGAAAATCGAAAATGGAAAGTTTCAAAGAGAAACTTTGAAAGTTTCAAAAAGAAACTTTAAAAGTTTAAAAGAGAAAGAAATTTTCAGCCTTGCCAGAGTGCCAGACTGGAGACTGTCAGTCTCTTAGTCTTGAAAATTGAAAAGTTTCAAGCTTTAGCCCTTTCTTCTCTTTTGTCTTAGTGGTTTTCTTACATCAGCAGATTCTTCAAATCACACTCTCAGCCTCTCACAATCTCACTCTCTCGGACTCTCAGTTTCTTCCCCAACAGACCGACAGCCTCCGGTGCTCCTCCCTCCAACCGAATCAGTGACGACTGGCGTCTCCTCTCAGATTCAGCCTTCACTCTCTCGGACCGATATCTGGCATCTTCTCTCAAATCTGAAATCTCAATCTCTCATCTCTCAATCTCTCTCTCATTCAACACTCACTCGACACTCAAACTCACTGATCTCTCTCAATATCTTCTCTCTCAGTCTCTTCTCTCAATCTCAGTCACTCATCTCTCTCAATCTCAGTCACTCATCTCTCTCAATCTCTCTCTCTCATCTCTCTCAATCTCTCTCTCTCATCTCTCTCACTCTCAGTTCACAGTTCGTTCACTCTCTTCAAACCATCAGTAGGGAAGATTTTCCCCCCTTTTTTTTAATATTGAGGGCATAAAAAAACCGAAAAACCGAACCACGATTAACCAATTGCATCAGTTCAGTTTTGGTTTGGTTAAATTGAAAAAACCGAACAGTTCGGTTCGGTCCAGAAAATCACCCCACAGTTTGGTTAACCGAACCATGAGCACCCCTAATTTTTTTCTTTTCTATGAGGGTCAATGGGAACACCTCTTCCAATGGTAGAAATGTCATTCCACCAATCAGTAATTGATCCCACATTGTTGCTGGGCAGATTCAGAGCTTCTTGCGTAGCAAGCCACATAGGCCCACACTTGCTTGGAAAAAGAGCAATTACTCTCTCTCTCTCTCTTATTTTTTCTTCATCATGGGACTACACAAATTGGAGTAGCCCATCCTTCAACCCCCATACCTATCTATATAACCTCTCCAACCTTGGTGGCAATTGGATTGATCCCAACTCTCGACAAATATGATCACTATGTAGAGTATTTGAACATGGGCACCTTTTAACACCAATCCATGCATCACATGGGTCTCTTCTAATAAAAATTATGGCCATGTCAAAAAAATAAAGATAAAAAACAATTGTGGAAAGGTTATTTTATAATCAAAGAGTGCAAGTCGAACGGAATAAATTGGGTTGCGGCCAAACTAACCCAGTTGATGTATTAAAATTTCGTCCTATTTAACCCAGTTCGCATCAAATAGAATGCAATGACATAGCAGGATTTATGTAGCTGATCCTATATAGTTGGAATAAGGCTTAGATGATGCCAATAATTTAATCAAGCTGGAATTAGCACTCCTTTGATTGGGTAAGTTTTGGCCATTAACCTGATAATTGTATGTATAAATTTCATACAAATATGCATGCATGTATATGTGCATCTAACCATGTATGCAATTATGCATCTATAAATTCAAAGGTAATAATTTTTCAATATAACATAAGACCAAGTTTGGGAGTGCTTAAAAATAAGCACTTATTTTGGGCTGAGTCTACACCAATAAGTACTTATTTTCATTTGAGAAATAAGCATTTATTTAAAAAGTCTAAATTTTAGGCTTATTTTCAAGTGCTTATTTCTTTTCTAACCTATCTTGGCCCGCCATGTCATTTTAAAAATGCTTATACTATTCGTATTTAAAATAAGCATTTTTTTCATCAAACACTCATAAATGCTTATTAGAATAAACAGTTTTTAAGCAGTTATTCAATAAGTACTTATTTTTCAAATAAGCACTCCCAAATTTGGCCTAAATATAATATTCCTAAGACACCATAAATTTGCATTTTTCACATATGCGAAGTCAATCACCCTTGATCCACTAATATAAAATCTAACTATCTAAGACTAAGAGCTAAGAACGTTTAGTAAAAAGAGAAATCAGGGCAACTGCTAGTCTTTAGATCTACTTATTGTTTGTTTGGTTTTGTAACTTTTTGATGGTCTTACATTGCATTATGTTGCTTGGAGAAGTGCAAGCAAATCTTTTAGTAACTCCAACCCAGGTTGCCTTTATAACTTTTTGGTCAGGACAAAAGATGGACAATGATTTAGTCCAACCCAATGGACAACTGGGTCGAACTTGACCCCTTTATTAGCTGGACAGTCTGCCTGAGAAGCTTGATAACCCCTTTAACATAATCCTAATTTAGTCATCTTCCAAATTCCAATTGAACTGCTTTTATCGACCACTTTGAGAAACTACTAAAACTAGTTTCACCGGAAAGTCAATTTCATGACTGAACAGGCAAGAATTCTTATGCATCGATAATTCTTTGACAATAATAATTGCTTCCCTAGTCATCCATTCTTTGGCCACTGGCAGCACAAAGACTTSCCAATGAACACAGATTTTTCAAGAGTGGGCTCCTCTATTTTGCACTCTAGAATTCGGATTTTTGTCCTCAAATTCCTGACAGTTATTGTAATCGTCCATTGAGAATATCTCCTTATAAATAAAAATAATAATAATACAAGTGCAGAATTATTCTCAATGCATGGCCGCAAGGGTTGTGAGAAGAAAACAGTGTAAGGATGGATTTTGCTAGGACTAAATCCGCATCTCCTCCCACCGCTGCAATCCCATTTCCTTTAAACTGCTACTCCAAAAATTAATTTTACCAAGTGGTTCATCATTTCCACTAAGATTGTATTGATTTGTTAAGAATTCCCTGCCTTTCTCTTTCTTTCCCTACCTTTTCTTTGAAACCAAACACAGCTTAAATCATGAAGAATTAGGCCACATATGATTGATTTGAATTGAATACATTGTTTATGAATTAATCGGGGGCCAAATAGCCAATAATAAAACCAGAACTTACAAGCCATGTTGTCCAGGGAAGCCGTACGCAGATATGTTTGGTCAACCCTCATGGATAGAATGAGGTGCCTTTGGGTAGTGCGAAGTTATATGAAATTATGAATTGACAGATATATCATGTGGGGGCCTATGATTTAGTGCTGATTCAAGTCTTGAGAGCGGCTATTTTGTGCAAAAAGTGCCATTGTTATAAGTTTAGGTCTATATCTAGTACCAGTCAATGGTCGTTGCACTCCATCACATCAGGTACCAAGCTGGTTAGAGTGTTTTCCCATAAATGAAACATTTTTCTATACTGTTCATTTGTTTTTATCACGGATAATCCTCCAAGACTCCCGATATGAATTTGTTTGTGGAAACTTCACCTGAACCCAGCCAGACTCCCGATAGTCCTCCAAGGCTCCCGATATCGTCATTCCAGTGAAGCAATTTGCTAACCCATCTAGTTTCTCCGGGTCCGATCTGCATGTTTAGGTTCCATTTGGCCTGCATTTGGGGGTGCTTCTTATCAATGAGCGCTTAAAAGATTTCAAAAGCACTCAAAAAAGCTGAAAATGGCCCAATAAGCTCTTTTTCAAAAGAAAAAAAAAACCCTGTTTCATAAAAGCAAAGTTTTATGATTGCATTTGAGAGGGGTTCGACTATGATATCAAAAAGATTTGCCATCTGAATATTTTGATTGGTCAAAACTGTTCCAATACAATGTATTTCCCACATTTGAAAGCATTTATTGTGTTTCTAGCCCATCTTGACCTGCCACTAATTAGTAAATACCTATTCTACCCCCATTGGAAAGAAGCGCATTTTCACCACACTCGCAAACCTGCTTTTTCAACAAAAGAACTTATCCAAAAGGCCCTCTTATAAACGATAAGCACTCCCAAACATCGCCTTGGTAGGGTAAAGGCTTCAGTTGAGTTGCTTTTGTTGAGATAGTTTGAAAAAGCCATCAAAACGAGTTCGGATCTGCTCTCACAGACCATGCCTCACACTGCTCGCAGCATGTGCTGATTGCACATCAGAAACATCTCCCGCAATTATATTTATTATTCGTAGGGATATGTTCCCGGTACAAGGTGGAATGTGGCTGTGAAGTCTGATGAGACGTGCTCTGTGAGGAGCAGATCCCAATTCCACTAAAACATCTAAGTGGTTGAACAATAGACAGTTTGAAGAAGTCAYTAAACAGACTTTCTGGGTGGGCTCATCTCACAGCCAAAAAATCAAGGGAGAATGACGATTCAGCTCAGGGGTTAGAATTTTTAGGCCCAAAATACAGTTGGGGTAAGTGCCAACTCGGAATTGATGTCAATTCACGAATGGGCATTGATGTATAGAGTGGAGATATTTGACATTTTGAATGTTTATAGATATGCAATGGAATTCAAAAATCAGCATTGGGCCTGTGTACTTTTTTCAAAAAATATCAACAACGTGAAAGCACTCCAAAATAGGCACCTAAGCCATCAATACCAGTTCCATGCTTGCTTTGCAAACCCCATTCATTCAAGACCGGATCTGCTCCTCACAGGGCATTTCACTCGCGCCTCACATGTACATCTCCCGTACTTACAAGTTATTATTCACGGGAGATGTTCCCAACACGGTGGATGGACATGTGAGGCGCTCCTGTGTGATGAGGAGCAGATCCCGTTCCCAGGTCGAGTTTAGGACCTTTAGGTTGTGTATTTCCCAACCTAACACAGTCCTTCCCGTTCTCAGCCATCCGTACTGCTGCAGACTCACAGATCAATTTCCCGACACAAAAGTTGGAAAGTTCTCCGTATAAATGTATAATGACTAGAGCAGATTGATATCAGACAAACAAACACATGTACAAACAGAAATTTGAACCTGCCTTGATGCTTCCATCTGCTTTTACTATCAACTCCCTTTGCAACCAATAGATGATTAGATGAATTAATATGATATCATATAGACACATGAAATTACATAATCATATATCTATAAACACAATAGACCAGCAAACTGATGCAGAGTGAAAACAGACTGGATTTACAAGAGCGAAGAACGAAGCAGGGGCTCACTCAACATGCTGTAGCCATGAAAGTGTCATCATCTAATAGTGCTTCAAGCTCAATCAAGTCATCATCACCTTCACCTGCTTCTTCTGAACCATTTAAAACCTTATCATACATAACCTGCAAGGGAATTATGAAAGAATTAGAATGCATATTACTGCCTTAAAATATCAATACAATACACACCCATATCAGGGTATATCATATCCATATCGGTGTACCTAAATAGGTTTGGATACACCGATACAAGAGTTTTTGAAAACTTAAAAATAATGTGAGACCCTCTAATACCTATAAAAGTAAAAAAAATAAAAAAACAAAAGGTATTGGTCATATCAATATGGACTGATACCCACTTGAGGGTATCGGGCATATCGATATGTTAATCCTTGATTACAGCAGAATGGTTTCAAAAATACTCTTCACATGTATATGATTCTTTGCATCAGAGAGAGAATTGCCTGAATTCTCACAGACATGGGAATGGGATCATAATAGGATTGTGATTTTCAAACCACTTGAGAGTACTCATATTTCCTAGGAAGAATCAAACCGAATTCTTTATGTAAAAACCTCTTAATAAAAGGTTTTAAAACTCAGCATTTCAACAAACACAGAAAACTATCAAGTTCTCAAAATTGTAATATTTTATATTTAAAATATTATTTTGGAACAACATTTTCAAACATTCATTTTTTTTATAGAAAAGTATGGTTTAAGAGAAAAAATGCACTATGAATCAACTTATCTTGAAATTATGTAAAGCATGCAACATAGACACCGAAACCACTTTGTAAGTGTCCATTTAACATATTAGTCTCACTTGTAAGTAGGAGTGCAACTTTGGTCAGGTTGGGTTGAGAGATTGTTAAATTTTGAATGGCCCGAGCCTGATGTAGTTGAAATTCTTCAAATCAGGCATTCAAACTTGTATCCCTTGTAAATGAGGTTAAGTCAACACAGAAATCATAAAGAATTACCCACGTCTTGCCCACAGGTCCCATTTGTATTGGGAATCAGTCATCTCAGGTTGATGAACCAAGTTAATCAATACTATCATATGCTAAGGAGATCATAGCTCACTCTCAGTTCCTAGTTATTCGACTTGGAGTTCTAACACAACAAAGAAGAGCATAATGATGTATGCTTAAGTATTATTTTTATGGATTAAAATAAATTGTTCTGCAACAGCCTGAAACAAAGTAGATTGTTATAAATGCCTGAGCATGGGGAAAAGGGGAGGGAGCACCAGAGCAAGGAGGGGGAAAGGTGAAAAATTTTGCTCCAAAAGTACATACTTTATACCACATAACCAATGAAAAAGACCTTATGCACATAAAACTTACAGAAAAATGTCAATAAAGTTGAACCCAGTTTTTTTCTAAACAATTTTTTGGCTTAGGTAAACTTTGGGTTTGGGGGTGAGGAGGGTGAAGGCAGGAATTAGTCCCAGGTCAGTGGGAACCACATCCACTGACTTTACCAGCCAAGCCAGCTGGCATCTTCAAATATGAACCCAGTTTAACAGGGGAAAAAAGTTCTAAGCGAGCTTGGAGCCAGCTGGCATCTACCCAGTTGAAAGGAATGATTGTAAACCTGTTGGCTGGAGGAGTGGATATCCCTTTTGGGGGCCAGATCACTCTTATTATTAGTGCCTGAACTAGTACCTTTGTGCATTACTCTCACTTGCTTAAAATGCTGGTTCTTGTTGCTAAAAAGGATGAAAAATAAATCCCATGTGATTTCTTGTGGAATAGTAGAGGGAAAAAGGAAAAAATAAATCCCATGTGGTTCTTGTTGCTTAAAATGCTGGTTCTTGTGCATGGGATTCTAGAGCTGTTAATACATCTTATGGTGTTATTCCTAAAGAGATACATGGACTGCAGTGGCTCTGTTGCTCTAATTGACTTTGAAGTTTGAGATAGTTCTTGGATCAGATTTTGGGAAGAAAACTGGAGCAGAAAGTGTATCTTCAGCACTTAATCCCTGCCTTTTACAATGTTTTTCCTCAGGTTGGGAGAGTGATCAGAAAGCTTTTTTTTTTCCAGGAGGACAGGATTGCCTGGAACCTGGTATTCAGAAGACCTCTCCTAAATAGAGAAATTGATAAGTGCATCTTGTTGCTTCAAAAGTTGGACAATGCCATGTCAGCTAGAGCAGAGAAAATGACAATTTGGAAGGAAAATCAGAAAGGGAATTTTATGGGGTGGTCCTATGTCGCCCTTCCTGAGAGCTGGAGTTTTCCAAGCTGACTGTGTATGGGAGTGTCAGGTCCTTCCTAGAGTTGAGACATTCAAGTGGATGGTTTTCATGATAAAGTTCTCACTATAGATCACACAAACGATATATGCATCCCAATCCCTAATAGGTATTTCATGCAAAAAGAACGAGTCTATGAATCACACGATTCTTGGCTACCTTACAGTAATTCAGATAATGCAAGAAAAGAAGAAAAGAGCGAAAGAGAAAGAAGAAAAAGTTTCAGCAATAGGTTGTGGAAGAAGAAAAGAAGGGAAGAGAGAAAAGAAGAATTTGAACCTCTCTAGCCCCCTTTCATCACTTTTATTAATAATTCTAAGTCTGAGTACAATTACTTTGATGCCCTTAATGGGGTGGCCAGCACTAAAGAAATAATTAAAGAAAATAAAAGAAGGCCCATAACTAAGAAACATA